GTCTTAAATGATGAGACTTCACAATAAAAAGATACCAATTTTTTCATTTGATACTTGAAATCTATAGACACATTATTCTAATTCAACAAAAGCTTATAAAATGTTTACATTTTAATCAAATTGTACTTTCTACCTAAAGAAGAAATACAAAAATCCTATAAATTATTCTAAGAGTAAAGTATTTCTTACTTAGGTATTTTTCTATGGCAAAGATCAATTAGGCTGTGTCAGTCCTGGGTTGACACAACTTTTAACTCATCTATGCTATATTTACTGTAGTGATGATAGCAGAGACTGAGAAGAAACTTTTCTCTGTATCTTTATGGAAGGTGTCAAAAATGTTAAATTAACACATTAAAGTTACATTGCTAGACAAATTATTTTAAATTTCCCTTGGAGAGGATGTAATTAACTGACTTAATCTTTGAATAGGAGACTTGAGCAGAGATAATGGCTAGTTAATTTGAATACAACCTTGTTTTATGCCCTTCCTGTATTTTAGAACACAATATTATAAATGCTGATTTCTACCTAATACAATTTTAATAATTTTCACATATGGAATGAGCGTGCACATAGGCAAAGAGGCAAACAAGTATAAGCCACGTAAATTTAATGTCAGAATCCTCAAATTTTCAGCCAAATAAATAAAAATTCCTAATCTCAGGGAAAAAAATTAAAATAGTTGTTACGTAGATGTGGAGGGCTCTGCATTTAACTTAAACTCTAAATACAAGAGTATAGTACCAGTTTAGTTTTTATCCTTGAAAGTTCTAACTCAGTGTTAAAGCAGATATATATATTATGAGACATGTGGTACAGATAACAGAACAAAGATCAAATAACCCACAGACTACAGATACTGACAATAATTTTCCTGGTGTTAAGACTCACACTTAAAAATGATCATAAAGATAGTAAGGTCCTACATAAACTATATGTGCTTTGGCATCAGTTCTGGGTACAAACACCAGTTCTACCACTCACTATGCAACATTGGAAAAAGTTCTTCTGAGCCTTTTTATGAGTTTCCTCATTAGGTAAAAGAGAGCTCTTGTCTTGGAAGAGCATAATCGCATTTCATTACAACAGTGCAGATAAGTTAGACCATGCACTTGCCACAGTGATACAGGTAGATGTACTCAATAAACTATTAATAGCTGTTATTAACAGTGTCTGAAATAGGTTTTGAAAAGGCAGAGCTATAAAGTCTAAGAGTCTAAAGAAAAAGGCATAAAGTTTAAAATTACATAGGATTAATATTTAATTACATCAATTACAATGTAAAAATACATTCAGAAAATATTGATTGTGCACCCAAAACATGCCAGCATATGCTAAGCTTATCAATATTTTATGGCATTTATAAAAGTGTCATGGAACAAGAAGAGTGGAATTATGAGGGCATACAATGGGAAGAATGGATACAGTTATCAGTGCTCAGCTGTTGCATGGAGCAGTCTCCTATATCTAACCTATTGGTACGAAATGACTTTACTTTTGCAGTACACCATCCCTTCTTTCAAATTAAGAAGGAACATTTTTAAAAGGGTTACTTCGAGTGAGAACCAGAGATAATTGTCCTATTGGTTTGGGAGGCAATATGTCTTTTTCCTTTAGTAACAGTAGACCTAAAAAGTTCTCATTTAAGTTTTTAAGTGACTGTATTTTCCACTGGGAGTAAAGGGGAAAATGGAAAGAAGAAGAAATGGGGAAAGAAAGAAGTGGAAGGGAAGGGAGAAAGGAGGAAAGAAGATACAGAAGCACCAGGAGAGAAGGATCAGGGTTTCGAGAAAGGAGGGAGAAGGGAAAAAAGTGGGGTGGGGGGGGAAATGGAACTATGTTTCTGGTTTATATTGTTTATCAAAATGAACATATAAATACTCTCCCTACACACACACAAGCACATACACACTTTGTTGAGAAAAAGTTATTAATGTAGGTGGAACAGCTCTGTACTTTACTGACAGGTATTTATAATGTTCTTTGCCTTTTTCAAATATAATTTGAACTTTTTTCCAAGCTATTATCTTTAAGTTTTCAGATTTGACTGCAAAATCTGATTGGTCTGTTTTCTAACTTTTATCATAAAGAGGTATTGATAAAATATTTCTCTTGTTCATTTACTGGTATGTATAGTGCAGTTAAACTGCAACATAATGATTTATGCAACTATTAGTGTCATCAGTTCAAAAGTAACAATTTGCTTGGCACATAGTGATGCTATGTTTGCAAATTACTACCATTATTGATTTTTTAAAATAAGTACAATGATACCATATAGTACTGTTTGGAGCTGAGGAGACAGGATCAGTAGCTATACTGTAAGTTAACATACTACATTTTGCTAAGATTTTTACTGCCCAAAGTTAGATTTAAAGAACACTGCCTGATCTATCGTACATCTGAATTCATGTTATATCATACAAGGAGTCTGTGGTGTGTGCCAAGCAATGCTATTAACAGTCAAGAGAGGTTGTAATTTAATGAAACAAACAAGGATAGGATGGTGTCACAAATAACTAATGTAGAGTTGTTCTTTTTTCTTTTCTACTGAACAGTACCACTCTGGGTTGGATTCACTGTTTATTAGATCCCGTGTTTCCTCTTTCCTGATTTACTCTTCTATTTCTGGAAGAACACATTCTCAAGTCTCTTATTAAGAAAGGAGCCATGACAGGTTAACTTCTGCATCTTTGAGTACTTTAAAAGGGCTTTATTTGGCCCTTACACTTGATTATATAGTTTGGTTGTTTATAAAATTCTGGGTGGCAAATCATTTCCCAACAGAAATTTGAAGATATTACTTCATTATATTCTAGCATCCAGTGTTGCTGATAAAACTTTTGAGGCTGGTGTGAATCTTATTCTTTTGTAAGAAGACCTGTTTTTCTGTCTGATAACCTTTTAGGATCTTCTCTTCAGCCCCAAATATTGAAATATCTTAGTGTGCCTCACTGTAGGTTTTGGTTTTTCTTCTCCATTCATTATACTAGGTATTTGATGGACTCTTCCAATCTTAAGTCACCTGCTCTTTGGCTCTAGGAAATTCTCTTCTATCATTTTTTTAGAATTTCCTCTTTATTGCCTTTGTTCTTTTCCTGGAAATATAATGTCTGATGTTGGATCCCCTAGATTGAATCTCTGTACTGTTGTTTTTTTCTCAACCATTTCCCATCTTTTTGTTTTATTTTCCTAGAGATGACATAAAATTATCTTCCTGTTCTCCGCCTAAATTCTTTTTTGAAATCCTACTCTCCATTCCTTTTTCGTAGCATTTTATAATGCATAATGAATCTTCTTGATTCTCTTGGAGGATACTCAGAGATTTTTAAAGTTCTTTACTAATCTTCACTCTCTCTAGGGCCAGGTATTTTGTTTATCCTGGTCTCCCTCTCTTCCCTGTGAAAGGATTTCTTCAAATACTTGGTAATACTTGATTGTCCATTCAAATTTAAAAGGCACTAGAAATGTGAAGAGTTTTTTGTACATGGGTGGGTGGCTAGCAAGCTTCTCTTTCTGGTAAGTGGAAGGGATTTGTTCATTACACTTTGAAACTCTTAAATGCCTCAATATAGAGGGCTTTGCAATAAAGTCCCAGTTCAAACTTTTGTTGCCCAGTTTCCACCTAGGCAATTGGTCTTTGTATTTGTCTATCTGAAAGGGAAACACCTGGCTGCCAGGTTTGCTACTCATGGTAGCAAAAGTAGTGAATTATTACTTTACATACTTTTAAGCACTTCCTTTCGTTAAGCTCCAGGGCACACTCCCTTTCTCCCATGATTCTAGCAGCTGCAAGGCAGACCAACTCCTTCATTAGCTAAAGTTTCCTCCATACATTACAGGCTTCTTCTTCTGTTACTAATCCTCCATCTACTTTTCAGCTTCTGGAAATGGGTTCACATATCCCATTTATTGCTGCACTCCTCCCACTCTTTTTATTTTTTGTCATTTCAATGGTGTCTTGAGGGGGAGAGGAGCTAAAGACTTGTTCTAAAATATACTTAAGGTAAACGTATATCTTAAATAGGAAGCAACCTCGTCACTTCAAAGTTCAATGGACCCGATTTTAAGAGAATGAGGCAAAAGCATTTGAGAATCATATCAATTATTAAATCTAGGAAGAAATAAAATCTGAGTACTATCTACTCCAGCTTCCCATGCCAAAGTCTTATAATTTTACTTGTATGGCAATAGTAAATAGTCATACCCACTGCATAAATACAGGACTATTTCTGAATGATGAATTAGTTAAGAATATTCTGATGTACAGATGTAGACAGTTCCCATTTGTAGTATATACTTATTTGGATTCATTATATGGCTATAAAATGTAAAGGACACCAAATTCAAAGGTACTAAGAGATGAAACTAAAGAGTATTCTGGGGCTTCCCTGGTGGCGCAGTGGTTGAGAGTCCGCCTGCCGATGCAGGGGACATGGGTTCGTGCCCCGGTCCGGGAAGATCCCACATTGCCACGGAGCGGCTGGGCCCATGAGCCATGGCCGCTTAGCCTGCGCGTCCGGAGCCTGTGCTCCGCAGCGGGAGAGGCCACAAC